GGAATGTCACCGACACGTAGTAGCAATCGACCAAGAGACAGCAGATTTGGCCTGTTTCCGATCTCTGATTTGAAATGTTCTATAACTTCAACAATATGTGCATCGTTCTCTTCAATTGATGTTAATTTCACTATCCAAATGTGCTCTTGATTTAATTGTTCGACCGAATCTATTCGAAAAATGAAACCACACGCGCAAAGAAGTTCTTCCTCTTCAGGCATCGTGCTATATGCGCTAATTGTCCAAATGGTCTTGTTCGCACTCGTATACCCAGGTGAAATTCAAAGAGAACAGAAACATAATGTCGACAGTTAACGTCATCAGCAAAAATGAGAGCGACAGCACGATTCTTGCTAGTAGACAGAAAAGTATTCATTGAGATACGACCACCAATGTTCGATTTTATTGCTCGAAATTCACGTTTATTTATTATTTGACCACGATAAGTTATCTGAATATGTTCCTCAGCGGTGTTTAGTTCATGTTGGTGCAAATTGGCTAGTTGATGGTACAGATAGGCAATGAAGTAACGAAATCGAAATATTCTATTGATATCTTCTGTACGAAAAGCCTCATTGAGTACGCGATACACAAATAAATCTTTCGTATATTATCGAATAGCATCGTTTGATATATATTGTGATTCAAATTCTTCGATTGTAAGCAAAGTCTTGATATTATGAGCATTTAAACGGTGACATTCATCTATCATATCGCAGTTTGCAGCAGGCGTTTTTGCTATACGTAAAAGTACCTCAAGGAACAATTGAAACCAAATAAAACTGGCATTTTCTTGGCTGAGATTTCGACTCGTTTTCAGTTTTTGTTGAACAGTTGAAGACGATGGAAAGAAAAAACTCATTGAAGGACACGAATCGAGCTCAACTACCGAAGCCACGTCCTTGCTAAGTTGGCCTACGAGCTCCTATTTGACATTGAAAATACCTTTGATTAATGAATACTGTACGGCCCATAGCTTATGTTTATCTATGTCTTGACAAAAAAACATAGATTCCTATAAATCAACAAGTGATTTTACACTGATTAGGGTTCAGTCAGCGAGGAACAAGCTGCTCTCCAATACTTCCAGATAGGACGATAAATAGACGGTTCGATGTCTGTAAACCGATACAGTACTCGATACATTTTTCAATGTCATCGAATATCTCCATATAATTGACGAGGCGACGGAAACATGCTCGACGATTGGAAAATGCTTGCAATTGAGTCAAGTAGTGTACGTCTAGCCATACAATACTGATTTTAGGTGGCGTAGTTTCTTCATTCGTCGATTGCTCATGTTTTGATAACAGAGAATGGTGTAATGATGCACCAATAAACTATCTGCTCTTTTCATTTTCAAGAGCAAATACTTACCAAACAACGTGCAAATGCCATGCAAATGTGAGGAAGAAATGGTAAGATTTTTATCAAGACTTGTTTGCACTCGCTTTATACGCAATTTTATTTTTATTCAGATTCTCTGTGATGTCGATATTTGTTTCGTTTGCCTTTTTTTCTTTTGTTCTTTCTGATGCGTCAAACTAAAGTTGAAAGAATGTGTGTGTGTGCTTCGACTCATTCAATACTTCAAGTATTGCTTCCACCTTCCACTAAAGGAACTTGCACTCTTTGAACGAATCTTTTAAAAAGATGTAGCTGCACTATGATAATAAAATTTTCATCAGCTACGATTGTCAACAGTTGGTGATTCATAATTTTATCTTAACTATACATGTCGAAAATATTTCCTTGCAAAGAATCAAATATTAACTGTATTTGATTTATACATACGTACACTTAGAATACCATGAAATTGCTAGGAATCGGTAGTTTTTCACATTGTCGAGATGTCCACTTAAAATAAGCTACTTTCATGCTCTACATTAGCACACAACAATGCTTTCTTATGTCGATACGGCGCTCACTTCAATGCTATCTACATGCTTATCGATCGTACCTACAACAACTCGATTGTTGTATTTACAGTGGATTGATGAATTGAGAAACTGATCTTTTCATCGTCGCAGATTTGACAATTGGACGAAAAAATCAGTCTTTTATACATTGTTTTGCATCAGTTTTATAAACTATTTATACAACAATTTGTCTTTGATTGATTAGAACATCTGTATAATTGCTTGGTAGACTTTCACTTGAACAACTGTTAACCTAACATCATATCGTCACTGGCATATGTTGTTATAATTGTATTTGATTCTTATGCTAAGTCTCGCTCTATTTATTAGAGACTCTTTTTTCATTATAGATGTGACAGTCATCTATAGAACAATACCTTTTATGTCTATGAAGTAAGCGTCAGAAGTGGGTTTAACTTTCTCACTATATACTACAACGTTCATTTACAATCGTCTTTCAAGAAATACCCTTTTGTCACTGTCCACATCTAACTAATCTGTACATATTTATTTGAAGCCTTCATTAGGAATATCCTCATACCATATTCAACTCTGCTAGTGTCGTAACGTTATACTAGAAAAACTGTATTTCAAAGGTTTATTTAATAATATCAAATATAACAACAAAAATAGTCCATAAATCAAACACTGAACAGAATAAAGAAAATTTTCGTCTTTTTCGTGTTACAATGTACATAAACTAGAAGACAAAAAAATGTTAAATAAATATTGACTTCAGTTGAGATACAGGAGAATGGGATAAATTGATTGGACGGTGAACATACGTCGATCGATTCTAGACGTTGACAATAACACCACTGTTAGCAGTAGAGTTGTCCCCAGGCATATACCGAGATAAACGAGTTGTTGGCAAAGATAATTTTTCTTCCAATATTTGCTTTATTTTGTGGGATAGTTACCATACCATCATCACCCACAATCGATTAAATACATTTGTTATATACGCTGATTCGCGTGTAAACACTAGCATAGTTAGATAATGCACATCCACGACCATACAAAGTTGTACCTGCAAGAACCCATAGTTGCTCTTTTTCTTAATAGTACATTAATGGATCACCGAAATCACCTGGACATGTACCTTCAAACAAGAAATAATGCCACCTTTTTTTTAAGATATGATAACATATTACTTACCCTCCCGTCTACCATTTACTGGAGCACACAACTGAAGTTTGACATTGTCGATTAAACTTTTACACAGTTTTTTCTTTATCTTCAATGGTTTAAACTGTCACCTATCTGAGAGTGTTAGGTGAACTACTACCTGAAGAATTACGTCGCCAACCTATGGATACAAGTGGTTTGTTGACAATAGGATATTGAAATTGTTCAGATTTGGACACAGCTGATAGGCAATGTTGAGATCGCGCTAGAATTTGTTGGCTTACTAAGATATAGAATAGTATTATCATTGTCACCAGTTTTTGGATTATAATTAGGATGAATGAAAATTTTCGACAATGAAAGTCTTTGACCATCTGTACTATTTAATGTGTCTGCACCTACGACGACTGATAACATACTAGATGTGAGCACCATGTCTTTAACACAATGTACTGCTGCAAGTACATAATAGCGAGAAAGAATATTTCCGCCACACATATTACGTGCAAAAGAAATACGCAATGATGCAGCCCAACCCCAACTATGGCTAGTGACTATTTTATCTCCAACAATTCTTGCATTAATATTTGCATTAAATCGTGAGCAACTGCATGAAGCAGTGTTATCACATGAAAACACAGTTGCCTGTACTTAATATTGGCTAAGATAAATAGATACGACAAGAAATATAAAATTAGATTGACGGATCATATTATTTTAGTGTTGTTCTGTTATTCTGTGACATTTGAAAGATTTTGTACCGCTTATGTATATTTAAATACTGAGAGATAACCAATAGAAACACCTACGAAAGATTGTTACCACGAAACACATATTTACCATATGTGTTTTCATTAACTACATATTTCATTGATATTCTTCATGCTGATTATTATCTTACACGTGTCTCTAACAGATATTTTATTTTTAACATACTTGTAATAAAAAACAAATGAAAACAATATATAATTTCCAACGATTAAATGATGATTGTTCTTATCTATTGCTATTTAGAAAACAAATATTGTAAGAGTTCTTGTTTCATCATCGAAACAATATCTGCATCATATCGAAAATATTTGAAAAAATCAACTGCGTCCTAATAAAATGACAGTTCCTAATCCAGAATATCTATTTCAATGAATCTTCTTTTTTTTCTATGATTTCTTCATCGTCTACATCAATAAACACTGATATTTCGTGTTAATCAACATTATAAAATTGTAAAAGACAAAGTTCTATTGTATTTTGTTCTAAATTAATTTTTTGTAATTCTTAGAATAGACATAATTAAGTACTGATTCATATTATTTTGTCAATTTTTATTGATTGAAGCAATATACAGTAAATTTATTTATTCAAAAAAAAGAAAAGAAGTTTTATTCATATTTCTATACAAACAACTTATGAATTTCGTTTATGAATATTCATCGATTGGAATGGATAAGAAAGTATGCACCAATATAATTGTACAATTTAATTATCATTTAATTTTGCATGGTAAAATCTTACATTTCAATAGTTCATATATTCCAAATAATTTGTCACTAACCATGGATTCAAACACTTATTCCACATTGGCACCATTCCGCCTGTGTTATATGGCATCTGTCATCGATAGAAAAAAACAAAGAATGGCCAACAAAAGAAAACGATGCCATTTGAGTTCTAATTCTCCGTTCTTTTTTTTTTTCTTCTCATTACATATTGACCTTTTGTCTTCGGTTCATACTCGAATACAATCGATCAATTTACACCCAACGATAATAAAAAAAAAGAATAGAATCAACTATTCACCTGTATACAAATGTAAGAGGTCATATATTGATAACCTTTTGTCAATGAACAATGAAGTAACATGAAGTTCACAAGGTTTTTATTTATTTTTTATATATTCATTGATATTAAACAATAATAAAACGAAACAAGAAAAGAAAAATGAAAATACAGTTCCTAATAAGTTTCACGTCCCATTTTTTCCAATGTTCGAATACGTTTTCGATAACGACTTACAAATTCACTAGCTAAGTGTTTAAAAATTTCTGCTATACCTTTATTATCTTTCTAAAATTTAAAAACAATAATAAAAGAAAATCTTCACATCATCGAAAGAATCCAACTTACAGCTGAACATTCAAAAAATTCCATTTTTCGACTAGTTGCCAATTGTTTACCTTCTTGTGTTGAAACTGCTCGATAGTTTTCTTTATCTTTCTTATTGCCAACTAAAACACCTGAACACAAAAAAAAAAGAATTTATTGTAAAAGAAAAAAAAAAGGATTCTTTTTTTATCAATTCTTTACCAAATACATTATGATCACCACGTGATTGACTTAATTGTTCAAGCCACATACCACAATTTTTAAATGAATTTCGATCAGTTATATCATATACAATACAATACATATCCATAGTTACCCACTGAATTCGAATGAAAATACATATTTTACTAGATTATATTTTTAAAAAACATACCGCATCTTTTAATGAATCAAGATAAATAGAATTACCAGAACTATCGAATAAGAAAAATTCCTAGAAAGACATAAATACATATATTAAATTAAAGAGATTATTGATGTTGAATATATATTTACGAACCACAGTATCATCACTATCTGGTACGCGAATTTGTTTGAGAACAAGATCGGCCATATTTGTCTATAAAAGTTTAATACTATATTTCTGTGAAAATGAAAGAATTGAAAAATAAAAGCATTCATTCCCTTATACTTCTCCTCTCCTTTGTACAGTATTATTTCTGCTTCTCAAGAATTCATTTTTTTCATTTTTATTTTGAAAATGTTTCACCATAACTGACGACAAATAACAAATTCATTAAATATAAAATCTATATTGGAATGGTATACTTTCATAATAAAAAAAAACAAACTTCAGTTTAAAAAGGATTAGTACTTTTTGAAGATTTTTTCGTTTCGATAGCACTATTGAACTCTGGTATTAACTACGTTTGAATCCTTTTTTAGTATGTCGTACGTTGTTTCTCATTATGGAATCAAAACTGATCAATAATTTAGACATATTTTTTGTAGCTAATGAAACGCTCTATCTATAGCATATAATTGATCGTAACGGAAACGAATTCAAATAAATGAAATAACAAAATTTGTACGGTCTCCGAGCTGGGCGCAGAACAAGATAGAAAATGTTGCCCTGTATCCACCTCTGTTTTGTATGTTTTCTTTTTCTTTGTATCATTTTTGTTATTAAATACTTTTCATTGTTCTATTTTTTTTCCTATTAATAGTATCCACTGTATGTTAAGATAATGATGATAAAACCTCACAATTTCACATTTTTTAATCTTTATTTCTTCTGATGAACGTATCATTAAAATAATAAGTCAAGATGTTTCTATGTTTTCTTGTACTTATAATATTACTCACTATTGAAGACTTTACTTATTGTATTTAAAAATGATACGAAATAAAATAGCTATAAGATAACAAATAAATTAATATGTACTTTAATGATCAAAAGTCAAAATAAAGATTCTTACTGTTCTGTCTTGTGCTCAGCTCTATATAGTACGTTTTCTGGGGGAAAAAAAGAAGTGTTGCTATTGTAGAGATATTTTAATAAAAGTGGAAGTTTTGAAATAATTCAAAAATGATTTATATGTGTATTTAAGCTGTGAACGCTTTAGGAACGTAGCCTGAAAATTTCAGGTTATAATACTGTTTCGTTCTTCAATGTTTATAAAAGATCGAAATTTATCAACTATCATTTCGCTCCGACATAGATTTTATATTCAATGAGTTTCTTCTTTATCTGCATCTACTTCGACATGTGTTCAAAATAAAACTGGTTCAATTGAATAGTGTTTTTCTTTTAGTTCTATCTATTGCAAAAGAAATCGATTGAAAAACTTAATCCTAAAAATGCAGAAATTACACTTCGTAAGAAGATAAAGTTTGTTTTTTGGTCAACTCGGTAGAATAGTTTAGGCTTCGAAACTGACACTATCCGATAACGAGAAACAATAAGAGAAACGAAAAAGGATTTCCCGAACACTCTCATCTCATTTTAAAATAGAATCAACATATCCTTTTGAAATCAGTTTAAGTTTTCAATCAACTAGTTGAGTATATTATAAGATATACTTACACAATTATATGATTTAGGAAATGCTGTTACATCGTTACCAGCAACGTGGCATATAGCTGTTTTGCCAACAGTCATATCACCTACAAAATCCATAATATATCTTTATTTATCATTAAAATTGATAAGTAACTAACCAGCTACAACTAATTTTCCATGTAGAAGTACCATTCCTTTCTTTTTTTTGGTTTCAATAGAATAATATTCTTTAAAAGAGTAAGTAGAAGTCAACCATTATGTTATCATGATGTTTAGTAATGACCTTTATTAGTTATATTAATACTAAATCAATGATTATTTTTCTATATTTTCAAATAATTAAGATAGATTAATCAATATTGAAATGAATTTTTTTGTTTTAGTTTTTGTTTAAAAATTGATTTTAGTGACAACTATATGAAATTTGATTGGTCGACAAATACATCAATGAATCAACTATATTTCTTAGCTAGTCAATAAACAGTCATCATCCATTAATTTGTCATTTTCATCTCAAAAATGGCTTCCCCAAGTTCATTTCATCTTAATCAAAGAGTATCCATTGCTGGTAAAGGCTTAGGCACAATTGTATTTGTAGGAAAAACAGAATTTGCCGATGGTAAATAAATAAACTCTTTGTATATGTTTTACGAACTTTAATATACGTATTTCCACAGGTGAATGGATTGGTATTGTTCTTGATGAACCAAAAGGTAAAAATAATGGCACTGTACAAAAGAAAGGTATTTTTTTAAAATTTATTTTATATCTTATTTGAATAAAAAATTCAAATTTTAGATGGAGCACTTGTTTCATATTTTTCATGTAATGATAATCATGGTCTTTATGTTCGACCTGGACAAATTGAATCTGTTGTTAGTGATTCTCAAACAAATCTTCCTCGATCAGCTTCTAGTCATTCAGTTAAATCTCAAGCAAGTAGTACAGGAAGTATTCCAACATCATCCTCATCTGGAATTCCAGCAAAATCATCTGGTTTACCATCGAAACAAAGTGGACTTCGAGCACCAACATCACATACATCTATACGACCTCCAGGTATATTATAATTAAATATATAGAAAAGAGATTCTTTTATAAGCAAACGATAGAAAAATTTTAACATTTCCTTTATCATAAATTAGGATTTGATATTGATGACGATTCAACAGGTAATAAAATGGCAGCTAGTTTTTACTTGATGCATGACATAGATTTTTTTTCTTTTGTCACGTATCAGAAATCGAGATGATTATAAAAAATAATGTGATGAAAATATTGAAAAATTTTTGAAAAAATTCTTTAGAATATGTTTTAAATATTTGATTTGTATGAAGAAATCATTTGAGAATAATTATTTTTCTTGTTGATGTTATGTCTCTTACTTTAATTAATTCATGGTTATGGTTAATTTAACTTTTTCTTATCTAGTATTCTCATATAATATAATATTAATTATTATCATTTGTGTTTTGTGTTTTTAAGGTCTTATTCGATCTACTCAATCATCAAATGAAATTGTTACAACAACGGCAAATGAAAGAATACCACCACCTAAAGAAGAAGTTAGACCACCGGCTAAAGAAGAAGTTAAACCACCGGCTAAAGAAGAAGTTAAACCACCGCCTAAAGAAGAATTTAAACCACCGCCTAAAGAAGAATTTAAACCACCGCCTCCTGTACCTGTATCTCAACCTAAACCAACAATCTCTGCGGTAAAATATATATATATCCTTTGTACTCAACTTTTATAGCAGAAAAAGATAAGAATAAAGAGTTGATTTAACTATTTCAAGACTTAAAAACGTCTTTTGTTTTTCCTTGAAAAACAGCTCCTCCTATATTCAAAATACTTGTTAGACACAATTTCTAACTGATTATGGGTTATCGACCATGTTGATTCTAAATAAAACCATAAAAAATTCCCTTAGATCTTTATATGTTAGTTTTCTAGAAAACCAGCATGATCAATAATCTGTAATCAGCAAAGAAAGCGATTGATCAATTGAAAACATTTCTTCATTACTTAGACTTAAAATACTAATTTTTTTATTGAATTCATTTTAAAGAGTAGAAAAAAAAACATGTCATATAATTTAGCCATTACCGGCACCTTCAACTACTCAATTAAATAATACTCAACAAAATTCAATCTCAGATCCATCTGAATCTCAACAATTAGTTAATAATCTCAAAAGTAAAATAACAGATCAAGAAGAACAAATTCAAACATTAGTCAAAAAACGTCGTGATGATCTTGAAAAACTTAAAGAATTTGAACGTACTAAAATTCAACTTGATCAAGTATGTCGATAAAATATTTCTTTCTGATATAAAAATAAATTATATATATACTTAGTTACAATCATATAAACGTGAAGCACAGGAACGTATGAAAGAATTAAATGATAAATTACAACATCAAGAAAATGAACTTAAAGATACACGAGATAAATTTGCTGCTTATCGTGATGAAATGAATGATACTGAAGTACGAATTGAATCACTTGCACTTGATCTTGAAATGGCTGAAGAAAAAGTAATTTTAAATCTTTTTTTTTTTGTCTGCTGAAATTTTTGTCGTATTATGATTCTTCTTTGATTTCCTAGCTTGAAACTGTAACATTAGAAAATACAACATTAAAAGAAAAATTTGAAGAAGTTCAATTAGAATTAGATATTATTAAAGGTGAAATACAATTAAATGGACCTAATCAAGTAGCAAATGGTATACAAAAAAAAATTGATGATGAACGAACAGTTAAAATGGAACAAGCATTAATTAAGTAAAAGTTTCTCTCTTTTTTCTTTCGAATTTATTTGATAAATTTTTCTATTTAGATTACGTGATTTATCATTAACAAAACAAGCTGAAAATGATACATTAAAAAAACAATGCGAAACATTAGAACATAAAGTTAAAATATTAACTAAAGAGAATGAAAATACTAAAACTGATATTACAACAATGCAGACAACAATTGCTGATTTAAAAGAACAGGTTTAATAGAAATATTTTCAGAATTTTTATTATTAGTTTAGTTAGATTTTCTAAAAAAGGAAACATTCGTAAGAATCGTATTTTAAACAGAATGATAGCGTTTAGTTGGAAATGTACAATCGAAAATTATTTTTTGTCTAATTTAGATTTTTCAAATAATATTTTTTTTTCTAAGCAAGTAAAGATAAATTGACTTTTTAAAATCTACGTTATCCAGAAGTTTATCAAGGAAAGGTTATTTTTCGAAAACAATGATTAAAATTAAACTTAAAAACCTCCAATCATCGATTTGTGATTCGGATTCCTTGATCCCGAAAATCTTTATTGAAACTTTACAAAAACAAATCGTTATTTTCAAAAAAAAGAACTTTTCCTTGATAAATTCGCAAATTTTCCGTTGCTTAGGAGTACTGTTTTTGGCCTATTCGAAGTTATAGTCGAAATTTGTAAAATATACAACAAAGATTTTGGAGTTGATCGAAAATTCCCATTTCTTTGTTCTTTTTGACCAATTTCAACTAGTTTTGAGACCTAAGTTATGCATCAGACAAAACCTAAGAATAGCTTGTGAAAGAGTGTTCAAAGCTGATCACAACTGGGATGAACAACCACGAGAAGTCAAGCAATTCTCAATGATGGAAATATTCTAACTCCGATTAGAAATTCCAGGAATTGGTTTATTCCTGCTTACAAAAACCTATGTCTAATATTGGGAATTACCGAACTTCTAGCAATTCTGCATGTCAATTGTATTCAGTTTTGAACGCTCTTTCCGAAATTATTCTAACTTTTTGTCTAATACAAAACAAAAACAAAGAAATGTGAATTTTCGATCAATTCCAAAATCTTTGCTTTGTATTACAGCTTCGGATAAAGCAAAAAAAAACTGTCATTCATCTTTGACATCATGTTCTCAGAACTGATGCATCCCTAATCATTAGCTAGTAACGTAACTGGCGAGTATAATGTACCTTGCCTTCCCTAGTTATATTGTATTTAACACATTAATCAAAACAATTTTTCTTTATCTATAGGTTGATACATGTTTGGGTGCTCAACAAATGGTTGATATCTTAACAACTAAAAATCTATCACTTGAAGATCAAGTTCGAGAATTACAAGAAACAGTTGATAATCTTGTAAGTTTATTTATTTTCATTTTATTTTAATATAAGATTTTTGTTGATTTTCAAAAGGAATCACTCTGTGACATGGATAAAGGTAAAAAATAATTTATTATTTAAAATCTAATCTATTTATTTTTTTTTAAATAGAAATGGAAGAACATGCTAAAGAACTTGAACATGATCTACGTCAAAATATTGATTTATTACAAAATCAACTTCGTGAAGTTTGAAGTTTTTCTTTTTCTGATTGGTTTTTTTGTTATTTACAAAAGATTCATCGTTTTAGAAAGAAAGACGACTCGAACAACTTCAATATACAATTGGTGATCATGAAAAAACAATATTAAAATTTCGTGAAACTGTTAAAACTATGCAAGTAAGATTTTTTATTTTTTTATTTCTTAAAAATATTCTTAAAATGTATTTTTGTTTCTTCTCAATAAGCTTCAAAATGAACAAACTAAAAAACAAATCGAAAAATATGATGAACAACTTAAATTTGTTGGTTCAGTACAATCAAGTGAATTTAAAGCAAAAATTGTTGAAACAAAATCTTATGGAGAAATTATTGAAGGTGAATTAAAAAAAATTGATGTACATAATTTATCACGACATGTTCAATTATTAACATTATTTTTACCTGAACAATTTATTAAACGTGGTGCTGATCATGATTGTATACTTGTTTTTTTACTTATACAACGATTAATTTCAAAATGTAATTTATTAACAAATGAAATTGAAAAAAAAGTTGAAAGAATTCATCAATTAAATTTTGATGATGTTATTAAATCACATCGAGCAGAACAATGGAGTTTTACTTGTAAACTTTGTTTATCATTATCAATTTGTCGAATGATTCTTAGAAAATATCTCAAGTAAAGTTTTACTTTTTTTCTTTTCAATTTTTCTTTTCAATTTGAAATTTATAGAGCAATGGAAACATGTAATCCAGATACCCTTCGTCTTTTAGCAAGTACTTATCATGATTTATTATCATATGAAAAACCACTCGATTTTCTTATTGATCTTTTACAAAAAGATCAAATACATGATTCCATATCATTAAATGCTTTAGATAAAACAATAACATTTTATGAAGTAATTTATTTTTTGATTTACTTTTTATTTATTTAAATTATTTAAATTTCATTTTAGCATATTTATAAAAGTTATTTAAGTCAAGAAAAATTTTCTATGTCAAATTATATGCGTGATTTAGCACGTATTGTCTTATTAAGTAGTGATGCACTTCAAACAGATACTCAACGTATACAAATTTTACAAAAGGTAAAAATTAAGATATTTGAATAGTAAAATTAAATATAGATTTTATATTGAAATATAGGAACATGGACAGGTAAAAAATGCTAAATGCATGAGGGATATTTTTATTATTAAGCTGCGTTGCATGAACATTGTATCGCTACTCTATTCTATATTCAGTATTATATTAGTTCTTAATCTCAATAGTTAATTACACAGCACTTGCGAATTAGAAGTTCAGTCATTTATAAGTTTCATTGTTCTTGCAGCTTGACGAAGAACGATAACAAAATTTCTTTTGTTACGGTTTAGATATATTTAAGTTTGCTTGTGTATTTTGCGGTATCTTTGCACGGACATTTCGGTTATATTCATATCGCCCTTACAGGACCGACGAAAAATTCTTTGATGGAAAATCATCACAAAAGTAGTCCTTGGGATATTATTAAGACTTGCTCTCAACAAGAAAAAAAAAGAGTCGACGTATTCCATAATCTGCAAAAGACTATTATTCAATTTCTTACTGTATAATAAGCATAGATTGAAATTGAAAACACTACTATTTGAAAAATATTATCAACATCATTTTATTAGAAATTCAAACTTTTCTTTAAGTCATTCTAAGACACAATAAAAAACAAAAGGAATCATGACGATGAAAAGTACAAACCCTTCAGTACGATATATTTTGAGACAAAACATTAGAAAGTAAATGTTAGAATAAAATGAAATTCTGATACTTTTGTTTATTCAACATATTTCCAGAAATTTCATTAATTTTCGTTAATCCAAGCATTTATTTTCTCATGTTTTATCTTGAAGTTAAATTTACTGGATTCATATTTTGAAATTCTATCAATTGGTGATAATTCCAAGTCAAACAGCAATACTGACTTCATGTCTTAAAAATGGCATTAAAAAAAGATTTATTTCCATAAATTATATTTTTTTCGATTTAATTTATCAATTTACATAAAAGAAAATCATTATTGAATATTTGATCATATAACTGAATTTTTTTCAAATAATATCTATTGATAAATGATAATACAATGATTATTTACATACATATATATTTATTTGCTTATTTAATGCTTAAATGAAATCTATTTAAAAACAAACAATAAATATTTCATCTTATAAATAATATTTTCTTCTTTTTTTTTTATAGCCTGGTAATGATCAAAGTCCATTTGCTGATCTTGTTAAACGTCTTGTCAATAGTAATGAACAAATGCGAGCACAAGCGGGCAAAGTAATTAAATATTTTCTAATTTAATTATTTTAATAATTTTTTTTTTTTTTTTGCATTAGATTAATCGTCTTGTACCACAAGAAGATGATATAAATCGTTCATTAACTCTTGATACTGATACAATATCTTCTATTGAATTAACTATTCGACATTTAGATCGTTTAGCTAAAACATTTCATGAAATATGTTCTGATTTAACAACTCAAATTTTATTACTTGGTGGTAAAATATTTATTATTTTCTACCAAAGGGGATATATTCTTTATTTATTATTTAGATGTTAATGAACGTGTAAGTACACAAGATATTGAAAGTATTGCATATCAAGCATGTGACAAAATCTATAAAAAAGAAGATAGTGGTCCATATGATAGTCTTTGGTAAATAAAAAAAAAAAAGTTTTGATCTTTTTTTTTTGTATTTAATCGTATATTTTATAAAGGGAATCAATGCATGAAACTATTTCAACATTAACAACAATTGGTAATTCAATTGAACATGGTTTATTTGATTCAAATCCAAATGAACAAAATGAAAAAGTAAATACAACAAAAAGAAAACCATCAAAAATATGATAATTATTCATTGTCTTTTAGCCTAAACAAGCAATTTATTTAATTGCTGAACAATTAAAAACATCAATGAATGAAGCAGATTTAATTCGTAGTCGATTAGAATTAAAAGATGAAGAATTAATTGATCTTAAAAAAATGTTTAAATTAAAACATGATGAATTAAGTGAATTAAATATACGTTTATCATTAAATGAGAAAAGAGTTGAAAGTTTACAAAAAGAATCAGATGAAAAAGCTAATAAACTTAAACAAGTTTTAGAAGAAGCTCGAATTGATGCTGAGAAAAAAATTAAGTAAGCAATATATTAAATTTCAATGTTTTATAATGTCATATACGCTGAAGAATTATCTAAAATGAAATGATTTGAGGATTCGGACGAATATGAAATTTTGTTAGCAATATTAAACCTATGGATATTTTCTTTCTTCATTTTTTATTATAAAATTTTTTACATGATTATGACGGATATTAAACATAGAAGATATGATAGAATAGATTACCTTTGATTCTTCATTCTGATCTTTCCATGTATCCTTTCAAAAGTTAGTGTTTCATATTTTAATTCTGCAGAGATTCGACTAATAGTTTTCTTTTTATAAAGGAAAACTGGAAAATATTTTCTGAAGGAATCAGTAATCGTTCTTTGTTTAAATTCAGTAATATTTCATATGAATATTTTGTTGAGTTTTTGAAATTATTCTTCGAAATTTTTGTCAATATAAAAAATATTTCATAGGAGAAATGAGTTTTTTTACGTTATATATATATTTTTTTTGCAATTAGAAAGATAACGTTGAAATCTTTAACGTTTGATCGAAGATATAATGAGTTTGAATATGAACAGTGTGAATCTTCCAATTCACTTTACAATTATCAGATATTATACTGAATCTAATCAAACAACCAACAAATATTTTCTTAGATTTTAATTTTATTCATTATGTACTCGGATAGTTATTTTTCAACATTATAGAATTGAATTTTTTTATTCTAAAACAACAAAATATTTTATATAGTATACTTATATTCGTATAGACAATGCGAAGATGCTATAGCTGTATTACAAAATGATAATGAACAACTTGAACAAGAAAAAAGTGCATTAAACGAGCGTCTTAAACAATTAACAAAAACAAAACTTGTCGATACTCTTACACAGAAAAAAATTGGTACAACACAAAGAACATCTGGTATATTAAATAATTAATAATAATTTTTATTTTACCCCTTCATTATCAAACTTCTTCTTAATTCAGGTCCTACAACTGATGGTGGAATTTCTCCACAACGACAATTATCATCATCATCGTATATCAATGAAGGAACGATTGGATCAACAGTCAACGAACAAGAAGTATTATTTTGTTTATTTAATACCAAATAGATTCTATCTATATGTATATATATATGTGTTATAGATTGTACCACTACGAAATACAATTCGTTTATTAAAAGATGAAATATGGCAATTAAAAATGACTCGTACATCAAATGAATTATCTAAACTTCAAATACCATTAAAAGATAAAAAAACTAATGAAATAGCAGATATTTATAAAAGTTCAACATTACTTTTAAATGTAGTGTTTAATTAATAATAGAATTTGAAAACAAAAAAAAAAAATGTTTTTTTTTGTCTCTTCTTTTTTTTCTCTAGGATTTGTTTACTACAATTGCTAATTATAAAATAACAGGAGAAAATGTTGCTGTTAAACAAGAATTAATACGTTCAAAAATGAAATTAGTTGATCAAACAGCATTTAATGTAAAACATATTTTTATTGTTTTTTTTCATTATTTATTTATGTTCTTTTTAGCTTAATAATCGTCTTAATCAATGTCAAAGTAATATTCTTCCTGGTTCAATAATTCAAACAACAATGAAAACATTTTCAAATCCACAATTTGCTAAAGTTTGTATTGAAAATAAAAATTAAATTTGTATTTTTGTTTTCTACTAAAATTATTTATCTTTTAGTCTCTTAAACAAGATCGACAATTAGCAGCAGAAATTCATTTACCTGGTGTTAATACTGGTGGTGAATTAGATATAACTCAAGAACAATATCGTACTATTATGCATGAAGTTATTGGTTGTAATTAATTCTATTAGTATTCTTTTAGTTGACATTTTTTTTTTCTTTTATATAAAAATATTTTCTTTTGACAACATACGTGTAAAAAAAGCAAACTTCTTAAGTTTATATCAATATTTATTTTTTCTTCTTCTTTTTCTTCCCTTTTTTCTTTGTTTTGGCTTCGGGTGGTTGCGTAAATTTAAGAAAAAATTCTAAAATAAATATTTAAAGAATAAAATGAGAAAAACAAAATTTTTTTATAGTTATCATACCATTATAATCAAATAAACCAAGTTCATTTATATTCATATTTTCTTTAAATGCATTAGATTCAACTTCATCTAATTTTTCTCCAACATTTGTTAAACATTTTAAAATTTCATCAGCTTCTAATAAACCTCGTTTTTCTGCATCGAATAATTGAAATGCAGGAATTATATCTTTATCAGTAACACTTGTTGGAATACTTAAAACAGCACTAACATATTCAGGAAATTTTAATTGATCAGTTTCTTAAAAAAATAAAGAAAAAAAAATATGTATGAATTATATATTAAATTCTTTGTATTTTTTTTTGCTACTTTGTGGATCAACTTCTTTTGTTACTCGTTGAACATCACTTTCAATTGGATTAAAACCAATTGTACGCAGAATGTTTCCAAGTAGACTTGTTTTAATAAAACCTTCATTTTTTGTATCATATGTATCAAATATATCTTTCATTCCTAAATCATTTATTTTAAATTTATTTATGTGTTTTTTTTTCTAATATTATTGAAGTGTACTCTTAGATTATTATCAAGTATACTTTATATATATATATATGTTTTTAAAATTGATATTATTATGAAAATATTGAAATATATACCTGAAGTTTAGTATGAGAAACAAAATACTTTATTCTTTGTCTTTCTCACATTCTGACACTTATTATATATTTTTTTCTTTTTTTTGAAACGTTAATTAGAAAAGTATACTATACGAATGTGTAGAAGTTGAGTTGATAGCAAATGCAGAAAACAAAGGAGATCTTTTAGAAAGGATACCTTGATTGACTTTGAGAGTCAATCATCATGCGATTTATTGTATACTAAATCGTCTGAATATTTTCTAATCATCATTGCAGTTCAATTACACGAAACACCTTTTTATTCATCTATTTGCTGATATTTTCGATGTTGATCTCTACTTGAGAGGGTCCAAGATAGTTTCTCGGATGGATACTTGTACGTCAAACAATTGATCGATCAGTGGAATTTATAAAGTATCCGTGATTAATATACGATAAAATAAATACGACACACTATGTGTGAAAATGAATTATGCAAACATTCCGAAAAGTTTCTAAAATTAATTGACCATGAAGAGTGCTCGAAGCTAATTTATTCTGAATATTTCCTAACAGTTGTGCAATGTTTCACTATATAAGGAACATGTTTCTTTTCTGTTTCAAAATATTTTGTATACAATCATATTTTAAAAGTTTTCTACAATAACTGCTTATAACAACATGTTCTTTTTAGAAAAGCAAAGCGATTAATGTTGTATTGAGGAGTACCAACGATGACATTATTTGAAGAAAGTCACTCCACTGATGTCTAGATTCAAGATGTTAAACTTTCTATTTCTAATCAGTAGAAAACTGTTGATGAGCAAATATCCGTACATTTTACAATTTTTGCTTTTTATTCATGAAATATATGTGTTTGTTTTTATAGGACACTCTTTATGAAGGAGTGCGAAGAGATTTCTAATAGAATAGATTCTCTATCTCTCAAATGATTAGAAATTAGATCTTTAGCTTTCAACAAATTGTATCAAAATCTTTATTACGGGTTTGGATTTTCTTATTGAAACAAGTGTGAATAAAGAGTTTTATGTGGATATTTGTTTTTGTATATACTTATGACTACAGTGACAAACGATCTTCTCTCTGATTGATAGACTAATCTGAAGCCATCTTGTGAATTTTCTTACAGTAATTGCTTTTTGTTGTACAGGAACAACGTGTATGAACAGTATTATCTTAATAGCTTAACTAGTTTTATATTGAATATAATTGTTAAACCTTTTTCAAGTAGAGAGGTACAGATATTCTCAAAGAACGCTTAATAGATAATATTTATCCATATTTTCATGATACCAATAGCTCAATTCAGTTTCTCAAGTAACGACTTTGGTTTGAACGTCTTATAGAAAAAAAAATATCTATGATCATACCTTTTAAATCATCAGGAGACAAAACACCATTCTATGATAAATAAATTCCTAATATAAACTAATAATATTCTTTAACTTACATATTGAGCAGTAAGATTTTTCATCATTTCAGCTTCAGCCTTTTTTTGTTTATCTGTTTTAGCCGGCTTTTTATCGACATGTTCTTTATCGTTGCCTTTTTTTGTTGGCTAAAACGAAATTAAAATTATTTTAAACACAAAAAAAAAATGTAATCATCATCATTTTTTTTACCATTTTATCCTCTGAAGTTTTTCGTTCTACGTACAATGATCAATCAAATTGCCACATCTAAAAAGAAAGATCATTGATTTGAGTTGATGGTGTGAAAAATACGAACAAATCTTGGCATACGCGTGGTTTTGATCTTTTTTCCTTTTAACTATTATAACTAAGGCACTTTTTTCTTCTTTGTTCTTTTTTTGTATATATTGTTTAGTTGAATATTGTTTTTTTGTCAGAGAAAAGAGAAGAAAACTGTTATGAGTTACTAAGAGTATCCGAGCAAATAAATGCACGATGTGTATAAAACAGACGAAGGGAAAGTAAGAGAGAAAAAAGAATGCGTAATGTCACTTTACAAAACTTTCAATATTATTGTGGATGTTGATTGGCTAATGTTCGCTTTTGTAATTCTGCCTCTGGAAAAGAACAATACTTTGTACTGAAAATGAATCTTTCTGTGTAAATATACATGTGCTGCTTTAACAACGAAAAAATGGAAGACACAAAAAATTTTATTCTATTAAGGTGAATGGGATATGAAATCTTTGAATTTCTGTTAACAAGATTTTTTTTTATACTGAGTTTACAGCAAAAAATATATACAATCAGTCTGTTGGAAGCATAATAACTATCAGAAATGAACTTGATATTCAAGATTGTTTAATGGAATAATAAATAATAAATAGAATCTTTCAGTCTTCTTCGACGATTGATAGAATTGAAAAAAAAAACACAGATGTCTGATGTACCTGTGTATTAGAAATATAAAAAGTCAATGTAATGTTTCTCCTGAATGCATACAAAATCTATAAATTCTACATAAGAAATAGATCAATATTTAAGAAGTTCTAAGAGAGAAATAATTTTCACGAAATATATTTTAAACCTTTGACATCAATATATTAGTTTGAAGAATTTATTGAAAGAAACAAATGTAACAAATGGTTTCTTGACGATGATGTATCAATACTCTTAAGGAATGTATGACTATGAAAAAATGTTTTTATTAAACATCAGTTTGCAAAATGAATAGATAAATATTTATTTATTAAATTTTTCATCAAAATAAATCAAATTGTTATTTTCTAGGTTATTGTCTAGGACGAATGACAAGATCCATTGATGCAATCAATGGTCGTTTTTTCTTTTCATCATTTTCATCTTGTGTTGTTGTTAAAATATATAATTTATTAATATCTGGAACTATATCCATAGCTAGAACTTCTTTTAACAAAGAATTACGAAACCAATCAATTATTTCCCATTGTTCATCAAATACTAGTATGCCCAGACCTTTTGATGAACGATCAGCAACATATAAATATTTATCATCAACACATAATGATCCAGGTGAAAATCGTGGCATTGATTTATCAACTAAATAATCAGATTGACGCTCTCGATTTAAAGGAAAAATATGCAAACAATTATTAGCATCATCACTAACATAAAGATTTTCATTATAAATAACACATGATACTAAATTGTATCCTTGAGAAACATTTGCAATGACAACATATTGATGAACATGTTTAAAATGAAGACCTGTATCATTTATTTTATAGTGTTGAACACAGTATTGACCACGATCAACAACATAAAGATTAGTTTCATCGTTGCGTGGAATATAAAGATATGATATATGTTTAAACTTATTAGGTCCATTACCTTCTGTACCATATTGAGCAATTATTTTTTTTTTATCTAATGATACAATTCTTATTTCATATTTTGTTGCTATATAAATAAACGACTGTGTTAATGTCATACCACAAATATCGTCATGTGACATAAAGAATTCCGAAAAATCCAGTTGTTCATGAGAACTATTTGTAGGGGCTGCTACTGACGTTTGTGATAGTGCAGTTGTCA